TAGGTTACCGCGCAGTCCTAGCCACTCGGGGTAAGGAATGAGCTAAAACGTTACTGCCTCATGCTTACCCAGGCCCTGAACCTGTGAACAGGCCCGTGGAGAGAAATTTGAGGCCCCAATACGTCATCCGCTGGGGCCTCCCCTCAGCCCATTTCACCACAGTTAGACGTTTGGGGGTACAATGGTCCCTTCCCCCATCAATGCTGCCGGCGAAGAATATTGCTGTGTGGGCAGGTGGAGAAGGCAGCAGGTCTTAGCCAGGAACACTGGGTTCTAGTCCAGGCTCTGTCCCAGCGCCCTTCTCTGTGCTCTAGGGCAGGTCCCTTCGGCCCAGGCTGCCAGGCACCTTTGAAGATCTGGGCCTCAGCTCCCCATCTGTAAATTAGTACTGGCGCTTTCCTCTGTCTGGCCTAGGGAGATCGTAAGGTCTCTAGGGCAGGGATTGTCTCTTACTTTGTGTCTGTGTAGCATCACGGGGTCCCTGGGTGGTACCACCGCCTACACCTCCTAATGAGGAAATTATGGGATGGAAACATTCCACAAATCTTGGGACAGGTCCCAGCCCCTGAGCCCTTCCGGATCTTCCCCTCCCCAGGCTGCCCAGGGCTGGTTTTACAGCCGCCTTCTATCCCAGCAGCCACGTGTCGCATCTCAGTGGCCGTTTTGTCCTGTTTTGATAAAGGATCAAAACCAGCTTGTTGAAGCAGCGCTGCCTAGTGCACTGGCTTGGGACTCAGCAGTGGTGGGTTCTAGTCTTAGCTCTGCCACTGGCCTCCTGGCGACCTCAGGCATATCACCTAACCACTCCGGGCCTCAGTTTTCCCCATCTATAAAATGGAGGTGACAAAACTGACCTCCTTTGTAAAGTGACTTAGGAGCTGCTGATGAAAAGTGCCAGGTAAGAGCTGGGGCCTAGCTACTCAAAGGTATTTATGCCTAACTCCCTTTCAGGATCTAGGCTTATGATGGGCTTCGCTATTGCATTTACCTTGGATATGTAGATACAGACGTTCTCGGAAGGAGCCACCCTAATGTTTGCATGGTAGGAAACTAATCATGTGGGGCATGGAAATAAAATCCCCTGTGGTTTGTTTCTAGTGCTGAAAATTTGCGGGTGACCGGGAACACGAAGAGAACTACGTGTGGACAATGGGAATAAAACAGGAACAGAAATAGAATTAGGGTTAGTAGGATTCATGATAAGGACGCACAACAAATTCTTGCTATCCTTTGACTATAACTCTCTAGATAGAATATAATATATATATATTCGAGTGTGTGTGTGTGTGTGTACATGCACACCTATGCCTGTGGAGGAGACAGTGTTGCCTAGTGGGTAGCACGCTGGCCTGGGCCTCAGAAGATCTGGGCTCTGTTCCTGTCTTGTCCGCTGGCCTGTGAGTAGCTCACTTCACAGCTCTGTGCCTCAGTTTCCCCATCTATACAATGGGATAATGGCCCATTTCCTCAAAGGTATATTGACCTCCATTGTAAAGCACTTTGAGCTCTTCTGATGAGAAGAGTCTAAGAGGCATTGCCATGGTATGTGTGCGTATATCTGTGTGGGCATGCGTGTGTATCTGTGGAGAGGGGGTGTGTATACACACCCTAACCCCACACACATCCACAAAGACAAAGGACTTCATCCTCTTTCCACCACGCCCCTGCTCAAATCAGGAGTCACTCCACTGACATCAGTCCAGCCCCCTCCCCGCCAGATGTGAGAGCAGAATCAGGACCCAATCGGCTGTAACAGAGCTCTGCTTTGGGGTTTCTAGGCCCCCCGTCACACACCTGAGATGCCTCTCCTACCTCCCGCTGCACGGCACATCACGCGACATCCATTGTGTGCCGAGCCAGACAGTTCCTGCAATTGCCCCACCCAGACGGATTTGCTGCAGCGCCCCTCCCCCGCTCTTGCTCTTCACTTTGATACCACCTTAAAATACAATTCTCCCCACTCCCCAAAGACCTGGCCTACCCTAGTCCAAGTGAATCCAACCCTTAATGTGCGTTTCCCTGGCAGAACTCTGTCCTTTGACTGTAAAATCAAAGACAGCGAGGACCAATCAGTCTATATATCTAGATTTCCCTTGCTTTCCACTGACTGTTTCTTACGAGGCTTGAATCCACTGGGTTTCCGACATCCCCTGCAACTGGGCGCTCGCATTCCCATCAAATTACACAGGGACCAGTTTGCTTCTAAATTTAAAAAAACCCAAAGACTGTGTGTCATCCCCTTCCATAAAACGAACAACTGTGTTTTTTTTTTAATAGCACTCTGCTCACGGGTATATTTCCGGCTTTCTTTTTGCAAGAGGACAGCAGATTATTAAAATTAGCTCCGTGATGCGTTTAGCACCGGGCAATCTGCTTGATTTAGAACTGCACTCAACGAGGCCAGCCTCTAAGCCGTGATGCGGGAGGGTAATTATATATATTAAAAAAAAGAGGCAGATATTAAAAAAAGACAATTTACACTTCAGAGATTCCTCTGCGTTGCCTGTCGTCCTCAGGGCCAAAGAGAAGCGCGTCACCTTGATTAATGGAATCATGTTAACGGGCAATCAGCCAGGTTCGATGGGGGACTGGAGCCTTTATTCCACTGCAGTGAAAGCCTAGTGCTAAACTGATCCTGTATGTTCCATTTCTTCTCCTTCCCTGTACCAGGGGGTAGCCGTGTTAGTCTGTATCCACAAAAACAACGAGGAGGCCGGTAGCACCTTAAAGACTAACAGATTTATTTGGGCATAAGCTTTCGTGGGTAAAAAACCCCACTTCTTCAGATGCATGGAAAACCTCTGAGGGCTGACACACCAGCAATCCAAGCCTCGGCAGCCCCCCCGCCCCCCCTGAAGCGACTCGGCTTTCTTTTTAAGGAATAGTGATGCTTTTTTACCTGTTTTAAGGAAGGGTCGGATCTGGTGGCTGCTAACCCAGCTGACAGGGTCTTCTTTGTGCCGAAAGCGTTTTCTGCTGCAGCTGGGCGTCAGGCAGGCTTGCAGAATGTTCTGCCTTGCTTTTGTCTGGGTGCGAGTGTGCGCGCGTGTCTGTCTGTCTCCGCAATGCAGCCCCTCCTAAAGAGGCAGATTCATTACCCCTCCTCCCAGGGCTGGTGGGCCGATGATTCAGCTGTGGGAACGCTCTGCGATTTGAGTGGTGCACCCAGGCTTTATTCTAGTCGGGGTGGGGGAGCGGGCTTGAAAGCAGAAGCGATCTGACTTCATCCACACACTTGAGCTTAGTTGCAGTTCTATAATGTTAGGGAAAACCTATGCCAAGAGGATTTTAAAACAGAACAATCTTGTGATACCTGGGCAGGGTCCCTCCCATTTCATCTTCTGCGTGCTAATAGGTGTGGGCTGAGGAGCGCCATACTTTCCCTTTCTACCCACTCACAACTGCAAGCAACGTTCATTTTAAAATGGTAGGATCCGGAGGCTCTTTGGTGAAACCGAACGGGCGTTCCTTGATACAAAGCGAGCTGGATCGCTCGGTAAGCTGGGTGCCAGCAGACGCTGTCTGCTTGAATAGGGCTACATGTATACATCTATGAACAAAGAATGCCGGCCGTACTTACAGGACGGGGGACTCTTTCCTGGGAAGCAGTGATGGAAAAAGATTTGGGGGCCATGGGGGGTGCTCAGCTGACCATGAGCTCCCAGTGCGACACCGTGGCCAAAAGGGTGAATGGATCCTGGGAGGCATAACCAGGGGCATCTCACGTGGGAGCAGAGAGGTTATTTTACCTCCGTATCTGGCACTGGCAGGGGTGAAAGTAAACCAGTATGGGCCGGTACAGCATA